AATTTTTTCTTGTGTTTCAATCAAATTTAGAAAATCTCTAATAATATTATTCTCAACCTATAATATATTTCTCATGTACCTCAAAATCCAGGTTTAATCAAGCTTGTCGTTTTCTGGCCTCGAATGGAATAAGGAAAAAGCCAGTAGATAATAGATATTGTATTTTTATTTTATAACTTCATCTTTGCTTTTTTATTTTTATTTTCTAGTATGCATCCATTTCTAAACACAGCACATCGGCTTATCTGTTTATCTATCTTGAAAAAAGTCACCCTAATTGTTTTTTTTTCGTCTGACAAATTCTTCTTCCTTTTAAATTAAGAAATGATTTTGTAAAACAAAATTAATTGGACGACTTTATTTTGTTTTTTGATAAAAATCGGCAATTGGACGACTTGGATTAGTATATCCATTTTTTATATATACAATTCCACTGAAAGATAACATGTATCATGATCCTTGTTTATTTTGTTTATGGCATTTTCCTATATTTTGTAGTTTTTTTTTTTTGTCTTTTTATAAATTGTATACAACTATTTTTCTTTTTTCGGCTCTCAGATACAGCTATTTAGAATTTTCGTATCATTTGCAAATATTTTAAAAACAACTAGTTGAATTTTTTTAATAATCGACAGAAAATAACTGTCAAGTGATTATAACATAAACACTTTTTTTTGTACTACAGGTGTGAATAAGCATATGTTAAATGTATTCCATTTTCTGACGACCCGAAATCTAGGCTCTCTCCTCGTGAATTTTCATAAAAACAAGGGAGAGAAACGTTTGACTTTGTAAGAGAAAATAGTATTCAATTCAATACTATTGAAAGAAACTAAAAAATTTTACCAAAAAAAAAAAAAAGTATTCAATTCAATATATGTAAACAAATTTGGAGATAGCTTATCTTCTATATCGATCGTCAAAATCAAAGACATAACCTCTTTTGAGTTGGACCGGTAAGATCATGCAAAAAGAACAAAATCTAACCACTTGGCCTTTTATAATACATATTTATGTGTGTGGGTTAAGTTATGACTTTGAATAGCTGATATCTTCTTACATGTGTTTTTGTTTTCCATCAAGATTTTAACAGTAGTCGTACGTAAAAACTAGGGAAGCAAATTGTTTATATATTTTAACTATTTGGGTTTTTTTAATAATTAATAGTACAGACTAAATATATATACCCAATCAAACTAAATATGTAAACAAAATAGTTTTAATATTGATTAGGCATGTCAATCGGGCTAGCCCGGTCCAGTCCGGCCCGAAACCCGCAAAATCCGTACATATTTGAGTCCGGCCCGGCCCGGTCAAACTTATAACTTATAATATCTCTTTAAAAAAAATTTATATATGAAACGAGTCAATCAAAATTTAAATAACCACTAACGCAAATTTAGTTTTTAAAAAAGAGAGTTAAAATCAAATAAATAATCCAAATAAATTGTTTAAACTTATACTAGATAAAATATAAAATCAAAATAATTCTAATTAGGTAGTAGAACTAATATTTGCTTTTTCGATTTATAGTAATACACAACAAAAAAACTAAGTTTAGGGTTTTCAACTCTATCAAAAAATTTTTTTACAACAAATCCTACAATTAACGAAAATATTAACAAAAAAAAGGTCAAAATATTTTTTAATGGGCTTTTCGGGCTAGCCCGAATCTGGCCGGGCTAAGCCCAAAAAATCCTTTAGCCCGAAAGACCCGATTTTTTCTAAACATACATATATTTTGAAGTCCGAACCCGCTGATTTGCAGGGCTGGACCGGGCTAGCCCGCGGGCTTTGGCCCTAATTGACATGTCTAATATTGATTCTGTTTGCAAGATTCCATATACTTGGCAACTAGTTGTTGGTATACCCAAAACAAATCATGAGATGTTTGAGTAAAGTCAAAGGAAAAAATTAGCCATATATAGTGATACTCTCGAAAGAGCCAAAAATGAGACAAAACCGGTCCGACCCTTTTGAGTGCAAATTGACCCCCGAAAACATAAACGGGTCAGTGAGAGACCCGACCCGTTTTATCCCATTAGAATTCATTTGGGCCAAATTGATACGGATCGGCCCGACACGTTTCTCTTCTCTTTTCCTATCTTTTGTAGTTCTGTTATACCAATTGGCCACTTGTAGGAATTTACAGCTTGGTCCATTTCATAAAGCCCACAACAAATAAATCAAAGTACTTTATATTGGTAAAACATGTTTATCAATCATCAAAGTATATATATACTGTAGGTTGTTAAAATTGTAGTGCCCATAATAATTAGTTTAAGAAAATTGCGTCATGGTCTATGGAATGCATTAATGCTACTGGTGGTTACATCTTTACTTTATTTTATGAAAATTTATTTGTAACCAAAAGATTGTTTCAAATGTCTGAATAAATTTGAATATGCTATTAATTATGTTAGCCTTAGGATTTAGGAATCTAGAGAGAATGATTTAAAGATTAAAGAAGATAATATGTTATTAAAGGAAGGGTGAAGAAGATCATCATTCAACTCTCATCATTTTGCCTAGTAACCATATTTTTTAACTTTTAAGACAAAAGATAATTAAAGTTACAGAATTCCTTTCGGGTAATGACCAATTGCGCAACAAGAACTTTAAGTTTTTCAAAAGTAGTAAATTATTGTTTCTTAACAACAAAAAGTTTTAAGTCTTACGGTCTATACTTGTTTCAATATAGGCATAGATGTATATAATGTATTTTTGTCTTGGTTGGTGGAACCACAGATTCAGGTCGGAATCGTCTGACTTTCCCTCAAAGATTGACTTTGTGTTTCAATTGTTGCCGATTGCGGATTATAATAAGTTAATAATGTGAATGGAACAATTTAAATTTGACATAGTTATGAATATTACTAGTACGATTAGAATAATTAAAAATATAGGCTGTTTAGATTTTTCTGTTGCTGTAATTATTGTCATACACCTCTTAAAACCTTTTCCGAGAGTTTGTCTGTACATATATTTTGCAAAACTTATAATATAGTTAAGGTTCCACTTAATGAAAAGACAAGATCCTTAAACCTAGGCCTCGACCAGGAGGATTCTTTGATCTCGAGAGAATAAAAAGCTCTTCATTTGATATTGAAGTATAATTAGAATTTCATCATCTCATTATTTCAACTTAGTGCATGACAAATTGTCATCCATTAAGCTACCATTGACTTGCTTTTTTTTTTTTTACTTTTACTTGTTTTGTTAAATTTTTATAACACAGTTAAGAGTTCCTCGGAAAAAAAAGGTAAAAATAGTGGAGAGTTACCGATATCTTGGAAAAACTAAAGAATTTTAAAAGATGTGTAAATCAATGCACACCATCATTTTAGACTACAATGTACTCCATATTCCTTATAAATTAATACTTCTTCTGTTTCACACAGAGTGTCGTTTTAAGGTTTTAATCTCATTTCACAGAGTATCATTTTATGTTTTCAATGCAGTTTTAAAGATTAATTATTTTTTTATCCTCACTATTTTAGGTTATTAATTAGAGAGATAGTATTATTTAGTGTATTAATAAGGAATAAAAATGAAATTTGATTATTTTTCTTAATTTGTGTGAAAATGCTAGAATGGTGAAACAGATGGAGTATTTGCAAAAGATAAACTTTATAACTCAGGTTTGTTTTAGGAGATAATTAGGCCAGAGGTAAGGATCTGGACCCAAATTAGTTTTTGAGTAATTCTTGTCGGGACCTAAAACTAATGTAACATTAGCCCATCATTTTCTCCATTTTAGCCCCACGCTCGTAGAAGGAAACGGAACAGTTTTTTTTGTTTCTTCCGAGGCGAACATGCGTGTATATGTGGGATTCTCTTAAATGAATCCATTTTCTTCTGCACTAGACTGTTGAATTTCTCTGTTCATCTCTTCTTTTTCTTCATCCCTTATAACCCTATTTGCGATCATTTCTCTCCGTTTTTCCATCATCGTTCGTCTCTTTCTTTTTCCCAAAAACGAAACTTCAACCGCTTGGCCGTCGTGAATCGCCGGAGTCTCAGTGCCACCGTTTATAGTCTTAAAGCGGTAGATTCTTGCCGACGAGTTTCGTTTTTCTCTTTAAAAAAACTTTAAGTGGATCATTTTTTTTTTTTAATTTTTGTGTTTCGATTTCTGGAAATTTCAAAAGTTTTCTTCTCTGTTTGTTTTCCTTCTACTGCTTTCCCGATTTTTTAGTTTTGAACTTTTATGTGGTTTTTTTCTTGTTTCAATCTCTAAATTCGGTTTTTATATCTATACATCTATTTAGAGCCACATTTTTTTCTTATCCTTGTGTTTAGATATTCAATTTTTCACATAGATCTATATATATATTCGAGTATTTCTAAACAACTATCCGTTTCTTGTCTTGGATATCTACAGATCTAATTAGATCCACATTTCTTTTCTTATCCCTGTGTTTATCTATTCAACTTTCCTCATAGATCTATATATATATATATATATTCGAGTATTTCTAAACAACTATCTGTTTCTTGTCTTGGATATCTACAGATCTACTTAAATCTGTATCGAATCGTATATATCGATTACGCATCTATTGATATGTTATAGACATCTACAGATCTTCTTAGAAATATATTTATAATACGTAGATCTGTACGTTGTTGTATCTTCTTTATAGACATCTATTTCATCCTGGTAGATTTCATGTTGATGTTTGACAGCGTACTTACTGTTCTTCTTTTCTCTCTACAGGAATTATCCCATATAAAAAAGAGCCGTCGCTTCTCTCATTTTTTGCCAAAAAAGTCAAACCTCCTATCCCACTCGCATGGATACGTAAGCGAGTGGGTTTTTCGTTATTTATTTGAAACCGAAGCCCAAAAATGAAGCGTTATTTCCTTACCCTAGAGACAAAGCAGTCAATTACCTATTCGCAAATTATCCTCTCTGTTTTTACCTCTGAGCTAACTCTCCCTTGTTTTAGTAACAATTTGAATCAGATAATACATCTATAAGCTGCAAATTCCAACTATTATTGTTAAAACACCAAAACCTTTAGTAAAATTAGTCAGGCAAAAACAAAAAGAACAAGTGTAGTTAGTATTTTGTAATGGATAGGAGAAGCATTACCAGAAAAACTGACGAATTAACGCATTAAGAAAGAAATTTTGGTCGACTAAAAGTAGATTCATAGGAAGAGAGAGTAGCTCCCCTACTCCAATTTCAATACACACTGGGCTCCACTCACTTCTTCCTTCTTCTTCTTATGCCTTCGGCTTCTTCTTCTTCCATGGCAGAGAGACACAGATTCATACAATTCACACCTTTCTTTTTCTACTTCCTCTTCTCATAAACCCTTTTAACATTTCTACCACAAGTGAACATCCCTCTCAGCTCCATCATTATTACACATCACTCGGTCTCAATTCCAAGCTCTGTTTTTTTCCTGGAAAATTCCAATCCTTTGTTGCATTAACTCTCTGGGGTTTTGTTTAGTTTGCTTTTCTTCCATTTGGGTACCCACCAAAAGAGTAAAGTTTCATGCTTTCCCTCACAAAACCCTAAATTTCATATCACCATCCAATTCCATGTTTTGCTCTGCTCAACTCTCTGTTTCTGCTTCTGCGTCATCGTTTTCCTTCATATAACCAAGCCAATTGTGTTGATTCATCTTGGCACATTCATTGTTTTGAGAAGGAACAGAAAAAGTTCTGATCTTGTCTCCTTCGCACATCAATGGACGATAATGGATCTGCTCATAGCTCGATGTTCGGTGATCTATCAACAGAAGAAGTCACAAGCAAGATCATTCTCACAGCAATCATTGTTCTATTCATGGCTGTCCTTTTCGTCCTTATCCTCCATCTTTACGCCAAACTCTACTGGTGGAGAATAGATCAGCTCCAACAACAGCAACAACAACAGCAAGAGCAAGAACAAGAAGAAGACCAATCATCCATTGCTCCGCCTGTAGTCACTCGCCGTCAGCGACGCCGTTTCATCTTCGTCCCAGGCCAAGACGCTCTATCCAACACTGGACTTACCTCTTTTGAACTCAGTTCCTTACCAATTGTCTTTTTCAGACAAGATAGTTGCAAAGATGGTTTGGAATGCTCTATTTGTTTGTCTGAGCTTGTTAAAGGAGATAAAGCAAGGCTGCTTCCAAAGTGTAACCATAGCTTCCATGTTGAGTGTATTGACATGTGGTTTCAGTCTCACTCAACTTGTCCGATTTGTAGAAACACGGTTCTTGGTCCTGACAAAGCTAGCTCAAAGAGAGTTGAACAAGTTCCAGACAATGCAGATCATGCTGGTAGCACCAATAACAACCATGATGCTTTGTCACAAATTTCAACTTCTTCTCCGGAATTTCCCACCAATGTCTTGGTATGGGGTCGCCAGGATCAGGTTAGTACCGGAAACAACAATGTCGGGCCTCAAGAAGACAGTGCTGCTGGTAATGGTGCTTCTCAGAGTCAAGAAGCTGTTGTTCTGGATATCAATGATTCTTCCATAAGAAGCCAGAATGTATCATCTTCGTCGTCATCGATGAGGTTTATTGTTGAGGAGGAAGAAGCAAAATCTCCAATGACAACGAGGTTGAGGTCTTTAAGGAGGTTTTTAAGCAGAGACAAGAGAGTGGCTTGTAGCAGTAGTAGTACTAGTAGTAGTAGTAGCAGCTCCAATGCTGTTGCTTCTGTTGATCCTTGAAGATTGTTATTACTTATTAGATTAGCTGAGTGAGATTGCCTGAAGATGTCAAACTGTGTATGTGGTCTCGGCTCTTTATTGGCTGTGTTTGAGAGCTTTCTTTGTCATCCAAGTAAATCATTTATGTATTCCACGGGAATTGAAATTCAAAAGCTTTTTGTTTACTCAGATCAACACAACACAAGATCAACTTCAGAGATTAATACACGTGAAACAATTGTAGAAAGCTCCACTATGTTTACACTAACAAAAGACATGGTGATGTTAAACCATCAGATCTGAGGAAACAAGAACTGAGAAGTTTTTCAAGAAGTAAAACTATGGGAACTACAATGAGTTTACTTACCATAAACGAGACTAGAGAAGTAGCAAGCCACTGGTTTCTTCAATAAACCGTCTAATTAATCCGGTTCGGTATTCGTAGGCCACAAGGAAAACTCTCTCTACTGTTTTTTTCTTTCCTTTCTTCAACGATTGCAAATAAAAAGAACAAAAAAAAGTTGGTGATTATCACAGTGACATGAGCTGTTAATCTGCAACGTTTCTTCTCACGAAGTTGGAGTTAATTAATACTATTAGATGAAACAGCATCAGTAACCACGTGCCCTGTCACATGATCCTCATCTCAATCACAAATATTTTCATGGCTAATACGTGTGAATGAATGTGTAATGCATATGTGAGATCTTCATGTGATCTAGAAACTATTAGATTTATGTTAAATATCTTCATCTGCAACAACACAATTGGGAAAACAATAAGGAAATTATTGGCACAGCAGTCAAACTAACTCACGTGATTAGATCCCAAAAAGTCTCATGAATCAATAATATAATCTACAAAGCAACAAAGATTCTTTCTCTTTAACTCAAACATAAGCTCGCTACCCTAAAGTTTTCTCCATTGCAGTCTTAAGGAACACAACAACCTAAGAGCTCCAACATAGAGAAAAGATCAAAAAGAGATTTCACAATGAAGAGATTCCATACATCGGCATCGATCTCAGCAGCTCTCTGTCTTTTACTTCTAGCTTTGTTTAGCAGCAAGAATAATGTAGAGTGTCGTCAGATGGGGCCAGCTTCCATGGATTTAGCTTCTAGTAAAGGTGTGAGAGATTTGCAGATAAGCAAGGAGATGAAGGGAGAGTCTCTAAGAGGTGAAAAAGATAGCTTCCGAAGAATCCCAAGGACTGGCTCCAGCCCTATACAGAACAAGTAAAGACAAACCACACAACTCAATTTTCTTTCAATCTTTATGTATTCCAAATGGTTTTTGCATCTCTGTGAGTGTATGATTGACACCAAGATTGTGTATTTTTGTACCAGGATTGATCCCCTAACCGATGTAAGAGGAAGTAGGAAACAACATATCACAGCAAGAGAACCATAGATTTCATTTATTTTTGTCTTGGATCTATTTTTTTTTTTTGGGTGGCATAGCGTATTTACACTTATTTCTGGATGCTGCAATGTAATCTTATAAGCTTTGCTACTGTTAACAGCTCCTAGAGTGGGCTTAGACCTCTATAAGTTCGTTTGTAGTGTTATATGAAAAGACTGTTTTAATAGCATTCTTTTAAGTGTAGATCTAGCCAGAACGGCTTCAAATATGCTGCCATCTTCATTAAAAAGTAGAGAAAAAAGAACTGTGGCACAGAGATGAGAAAAATGCAGCTTGACTAGATATGATAGAGTAAGGAGTCTAACCTTCAAATTCTCAATTTATTTGAATGCCTATTCTTTCCAGTCATCTCACCAGAAAGGAAAGGTCTTTTGCTGCCAGCTAGTTTTGGTTTATCTGTTGCTTCACTAGTTTTATTCTTCTTCTGTTTCGCCCTTTTTTCACCTGCAAAAGGTTCATCCTTGTCCTTTGCATGTTCTTCTCGGTGACGCTTAAACCCGGAAGTAGGATGATGGTCAATCTCTTTCCTTGTATTCTTTACTTCTATTTCCTGATATGCATCCTCAGATGTGTCAGAGACAAATGTGTTCTTTGGAAAATTTGATTTGTTGGACCCAAATGTAGAACAAAAGTCGTCATATGTTGATTGCTTAGCTTCTTGTCTTGATTTCCACTGATCAGGTCTGCTGGCATAACTGCAACAAAGAAATGATTCCATATCATATCAAATAAATGCAAGAGAATACATGCATGCCATCAATGCTACAAATATGCCAGCTTTCAATGGCACTATGTCACTAAATCCCCTAGACTTATTCTCTTAGAACTTATACTTCTTTTTTGTCATCTGACGTGTAATTATTATGTTGGTGATACCAGTTTTTCTGATGTGTTACAGCTTCCGTCAACAAAAGCAAGATAAGTTTGTGAATAAGATCTTACCCATCGATATCAAGTTTCCTAAGCAGATAAGGCCCTTGCTTTGTTTTCGAGAGATCAACTTTCACATCCAACAGTTCAGCTGCTATGGCTTCCCTTAGTGTCAAATTACATGCATCGAAGCACTTCTCAACTGTAAATGAACCAGATGTGTGTAATGAGAGCTCGCCAAAATGTCCACGTAACCTGTGACGAAATCATTGGTAAAAAGAAACATAATCAACATAAAGAACAATCGCTTGAAAAATACTGACAAGCAGCCTAAGAGACTGAATGAAGAAAAAACACGGAAGCAAAAACAGAACGAAAGTAATCATATAAACAAGTATACTGTGAAATCTACCGGTCTTGAAATAAACATATTCCCATATAACATCAAGAAGCAAAGCATACTTTATAATTAGTCTGCGTTTCTGTTTTGTAGCAGCATTTGAGGCAAGAAAGGCCTCAATGACACGTGCTCCACTGGAATCTTTTGCTGTTTCAGTAATATACTCAGCTTTCATAGAAGTTAAGCTTGTTATGTATGGCTGTATATGATCCTGTCAAATTGAGAAAAGGAGTTACTGTGAATGCACATGAAAAGCCAAACTTGGAAGTTGAAAACACAAACTATTTTTGTCAACACAAGGAGAAAAGGAAACATACGCTAGAAAACTTGAAAATCCCCTGAAGGATCAAACAACCCATGACATGCATCTTTGCACCAGGTGCCCACTCCCATGTAGACTTATCTTGGCAACCAAAGTAGTAATCAAGAAACAGCAACCGTGGAACAATGGAGATACGGGACTCATTTGTGGAGCATACTGCACCAACAAGGGCCTCACAACACTGTCAAATCAGTAAAAATCAGCTGTATAAGAACACATTTTTGAAACTAGAGAAGAAATAAATTTTCAACTGAAATTTAGAAAACATAGAAACCTTATGTTCATGACTTTCAAGCCTTTGGCTAACCGCTATCAGAGAAGCCACAACACCTGACTTCCCTTGCTCAAGAAGATCCTTGAATCTTGGAGCTAATTCTTCCCACATCATGCCCATCTTGCAAACAAAATCAATTGAACGTACGTAAGTTTACCGGCTTCAAGGAAAAAGCAAAAATATATTCGAAGCTAAGAAGACCTGGAATGAAATTTTGATGACACAGAAAAAGATGAAGTGTAGGATAAAGATACCTGCTCTTGGTCTCTTGCATGGGAGATTAATGCTTGGATAACAAAATTTGCACACCGATCAACTGAAAGCTCATATAAAGAATTCTTGAAAACTTTGTTGAACATTTCGTTATACAGACTTTCAGGGGCCACTTCCAAAATAACCTGAAATTGCATGCAAACGCATTTAAAAAGATGACTAAGAAAATTAACACTCCAATTCCAGCATGGAATCAAACAGAGAACTGGAGATCATTGTACATAATGTTTTGCATGGTCTAACGCAGGCAATATATCCACAATCAATTGTTTTGCAAGGTACAGAATCTTGGTATAAACAACTCAGTAAGAGCCAGAGGTTAAACTCAGTTACCTCCACCAGATGACTGAATGAATTATCCTTCATTGACACTAAAATTTCTTTGGCAACATTAGTCTCTATATGAAACCCCTCTACTTTTTTATTGGTAGAGTTGCAGCGCAGAATAAGTGGAATGATTTCAAGTAACTCCTCATCTTGTTTCAGCATTAGTCTGAGAGCCGTCTGTCAAGAGAAGATTAGTTAGCATCACCATGAATCAGGGAGAGAGAGTAAAATAACAGTCAATACTAAAGAAGTTGCTTGAAAATGACGATTAGACAGGGACATAAAACCTACCTGTAAGACCAAACTGCTATACTGATCGACTTGAAGATACGTCATATCCTCTCTGCTACAATTTAATATCCCAGATAAAAGGTACTTGAGCATATCTGGAAACCCTTGATGAGGGAGTTCTAGAGTATTGTCATCTAACTGAGACATCTTCAGATTCAAACGTTTGGCCAGAGCTTTTGATGATTTTGCGCCATAAAGCTCAGGAGAATCTAAAGAGACTCCTTTGCAAAGACAAAGAAGCCTTCGAAGAACATGAGAACCATAGCAGTTGCACATCATATCAAGAGGATTATCCACAATCACCTGACCAGGGGAAATATTACACCATCACAATCAAGGTCAATTACTAGTTTCATTACTAGAAGCAATATTCTGGATACCTCAATATGCTTGTCAAAGCCAGTAAAAATATTGTATAAAGTACCTTGCATATAGAATTCAATGCCTCCTCAATAACAGAATAGGCATCTGGATTTTCAAGATGTGTGGCCAAGGATTTGAGAGCAGACTCTGCAACATGAGAACCAGATCTATCCATTGCAATGGCTGGGAACACAGTTGCAGAATTTCGTATGAAACTGCAGAGTTGGTCAAGTTCACATCCCTCAAGTAGAGTTTGCAAGACATGACTTATGATATAGTCTGTTGCAATTTCGTATTCCCTCCCTCTTGTTTCTTCAAGGGCATTTCCGCATATTACTGAACGTTCCTCTAATTCAACTTCATTACTATCAAAGAGATTGGCAATCTCAGAGAAATATTTTGAAGTTTCTGGATCAATTTCTTTCCTGCCAAAGATTAACCCGAGTCACTAATACTTCTTACGATAACAAAATCTCCACTACAAATTAGAGCAAAGGCGTAGGTTAGGCCCTCGGTTGAAAACGTCCCTTACCTGACAAATTGATTCTGATGTTCAAATTCGGATTGTTTCTTTGATGCTGGCTTTACATTGGGGGCACCACCAGATTGATTCCTCTTGTTGCTATCTCCATCAAATCCACGGCCAC